GTTGTGTAACTCTATTCTACATATACATATTTCTATTTTATTTTTTAATTTTGCCTACATTTCTTAATTGTCTTTCAACTTACATTTCCTCCTGCCTCTCGGGGTTTTCCTTAAATTGTTTGTGTCTGTTTTATGTATATTTCTTTCGCAACCGTTCCGCTGTGTCCGCGTTTCTTCCTTTCTATTCGGTCGCGTGCTCTGATCTGGTCTGTCGTGCAGCCGCTGTTGTCGGAAGTTAACGTCCTGTTTTTCCTTARATAGCAGTTATATATGCACCATGCGCAGMAATCACCGCGATTCGCTTGCMACACAGCGSGACGAGAAGTTGCAACACAGCTTCACTTTTCGTTGAAGGCTTTCAAAACGGTCACTGACTACTTCATACATTTGTTTTAGCTTTATTTTGGCTCAAATATATGATTGCATACTTTTTTGGCGCTTTATATACATACATGCGTGTGTGTATGTGCGAATATTTTTTATTTTTACATGCATGTACAGATCAAGACGTTTATTTTTTTGATTGCGACAACATACTTTCACCACTGGCGTTGCACAATCAAAAATTTAAAACAGRCGAAATTTTGCAACAATTTTAAATTTTTATTTTTTAATTTCACAGAGCTATAACGGTAATTTAAAATCGAAATTTTATTTCATATTTTTTATCAAAACCATATATATACATATGTATGTGTGTGTGGACCACCTTGAACACCAAACGGTTAAGCGCTTGCAGATTCATGCAACTGCTTGTTGCTGTTGTTAATCTTTTTTTGTTTTTTTAGTTTCCGCAAGTTTCTTACAATTTCGTTGCTCTGTTTGCTTGCTTTTTAACATGTAGCGAGTAACCCCATCGATGAAAGGGAAACCCAACGGAACTGTTGTCACTTTTTCACGCTTCGCTTGTTATCAACAGAAAACGCTTTGTATCGAGCAAAAACGCCAAATAATATAACAGTAATTTGTTATCGAAGCAAACAACGGCGAATCATTTATTATTAATCTGCGATTGYAGACTTCTTTTCGCTCGGTTTTTTATTTCACAAAATCCTGCTTACGTTCGCGCTGCACAACAACGGGCCGTCCGTGGTAAAACGTCGTAAACGCGCCAACAGTCGAAAACTAACTGAATGCGCATTGATAATGTCGGCAAGGTTTTGGCCAAGTAACAGTAATAGCCAGCGTTGATCGGCAAAGCTCACTTTGGCCGCAAGCGCGATTGAGGCAGCAGCCCAACTTACAACTCGTAATCAGTCACTTGAAGTCGAGCGAAGCCAATGAGCGCTGAATTTTTCGCTACAGACACACACATGCACACATATTGCAACGCCAAGCTGTTTTAAGCGCTTCTTTACATTAATTACTGGCTGGTTCAGAGCGGCGTCGCAGCAACAATATTAAGTCGCTCTTCGGTTAAGAGTACGAAATTAAAGAGCTCTACTTCTGCGCCATTTGAGATTGAAAATTATTTTCCAACTCCGATTCGATTTTAAAGTTGCCATGAAAGACTTAAGCAGCAAACTTGAACTCGAGTAAAAGAAAATATTTAGGACTTTGCTAAATGTCATTTTATTCGATAATCCCACATTAATTTATAGTAGTTTATGATATTGATTTCCATATCATTATATGTATATAGCCAATCTGGTTAGTTACCGTTACATAGACAAAAAATTATATCAGATTATAGCTATTAGTATTTACTAATAAGCGCTCACCTTTCAGTTTTTGCAATTTCTTATGCATGCTGTATTTATTGTTTGCATATTATATATTTTATGATATATAGAATACAATAGGCGGTTATCAAGTGGTCAATTTGAATATCGGCAAATATGCTTTATAATTATAAATGTAGCTTTATAGTTTACCAGATACTTATGTATTTAAATAATTACATAACTAGATCAGAATGTGTCACATAAATTTTTAATATTAATTATAATAATAAATTATAAAACTATGGTAGGGCTTAGTTGTTGCGTCGCGATTGACGCAGATTTTTCTCAATTTCAAACTGTCGTAAATCGGTGCGTTGTAGGAAATCCTGGCGCTCCAAGTAGCTGAAAAACACACATTATATGTAATTATAAATAATCATTCATTCAAAAAAAAAAAAATCAAAAACACATACCCATCTTTGCCTTTGTTGAATGTTTGCAGCTCTTCTTCAATACCCTCATTCTGTTTGAAGCTCTTCCAGTCTAATTGCGACTTCTCTAGTACGGATATTTTCTTCTTTTTACCGATCTGGTTGAGTATGGAGCCTAAACCGCCAGCACTGCTGCCACCTGCCATTGGTCTTTTTAAGCCTACTGGCAAACCGGCTCTCAATGCCGATGTGCCTGCTAYGGGGCGCTTCRCTGTCTCTTTGTTTTCTTTAACGCTGTCAGCGTTAACAACTTTTTCCACACACACTTCTTCTCCCGCAAAATCTAAAATTTCGGTCACAGTAACCTTATCCGGTTTTTTCATTTCTGTTGGCTTTTCGTCAGAGGTAGATTTTTCTTCACTTTTAACTACGTGCTTTTTTGGACTATTAACTCCATTAGTCACACTGGCTGTTGATGCACCATTTACGGTTGCTTGTGTTTTAGTTTTTGTTTTTGTTTTTGATTCGGCATTTTTCGGTTTCACATCGCTAAGGAAATCTGCCCAGAGTGCATCAGATCTAGATTTATCCTCTTCCTCCGATTCCAAAGTGTCCTTTTCTTTGCGACTATGTAGTCGRTTTGTAGCATCTGTTTGTCGCGTGTTACGCTTGCGCTCTGAGTCGGCAGTTTTCTTACACTCATCATCCGTATCACTCGAATGTGCCTCGTCTTGGGCACGTGCACGTTTCCGACTTTTCACCTTTTTCAATTGTTTCTTTATGCTATCGGAATTTTTACGAGTTGATTTTTTCATTGTATTTTTGGAGTTACTGCCTTCTTCRTCACTACAACTAGAAATTTCACTAGAAGCCTCTTCAGAAACTTCAATGCCGGCTTCTTTTTCCGGACAGAAATCACTGTCACTTTCATCACTATCATGTAATTCCTAAGAGCAATCACGTATTTAATTAAATATATTCTTAAAGTCACAAAACTTAAATACTTACCACTTCGGGGTCCATTTTGCGAATTCCTGCTTGYAATATAGTTTATAAAATAATTTCAATTAATACTCCACGACGATAGCTGCAAATTTAAGTTTATATATACATATGTGTCTTTCGAAAAATCACTTTTTTATTTCTATTCTCTCTTCGGTTGTCAGCGCAGCATTGTGAGCAATTACCAGCTGATGTATACGGTGAGGGTTGCCAAAATTTGAGTAAATTTAATTAAATAATTTTAATGTCATACGTGCAGCACGAAAAACAATAGTTTTCATAGAATCAGTAGCAACATGAGTTAGGCATATTAAAAAATTAAGAAATTATGTATGTGTCAAGATTTACGTACTTRTTTTATAGTTGTATCTAAGAATGTTTAATAAAAAATTATATGACAATCACAACTTTTGGTAAGCGATATTATTTGTTCATCACAGATGTCGCTAAGCGTCACGTTTAGCTGTCACTTTTGTGAAACCCAATATTTTTTAAACAATTACGAAGGCGGTAATGTTTTGAAGAACAAAGTTATATTGCATTCAAACAACAATCAAAAGAAATGGACACGAAAGCCGACAAATTACAAAAAAGGGCAATTCGAGATCAGCAAAAACGTATGAAACCTGGTGAATGCCAGAAATACGTACGCATGATTTTGGACAGCRGTATATTAAATTCAAGTATGAAGGGACTTGGTTGTGAATTAAAATTAGAAATCGAACAACTACAAATAAAATATGCAGTACGCGATTTAACGTCTAAATTTTGTATCATTTGGGAACGTCAATCGGGTCAGCGGGAATTGTTGCCCAATGAGTGTTTAGATTCGCCGCTGAGCGCAAAGTGGGAATCGGAAAATCAAGTTGTGCAATTTTTCACTAAACAAGATCTTCAGAACACAACCGCAACTGAAATAGCGAAGAATATGGAAAAAAATTTTCCAGATATGCAACCCACTATAGCTTTATTAGCAGATCGAAAAAAGAATTCGGAATCAAATACTACAAATTCTGTGCTCATAGATTTACAAGTCTTACATCAAGTAGCCACAATACAAGTAGCGCCAGAGTCCAGTGAAGTAGCTGCTACCTTACGTCGTTTCACAAAAGCCATAGCGGAAGCGCCATTCAAGCAACAGAAAGCCAACACTTTGGGCACTTTTAAAAAATTCCTTGCCAACGATAAGAAACAGTGTGTACGTGTCGTGGGTACAAACGGTTTAGGGCGTCTTTGGCAACAACATTTAAATCGTTTGCCTTTAGTAACCTTGGAGGTAGCTGAGACTATAATCGCACAATATCCATGCCCCAAAAAACTTTTGGACGCATATGAACGGAATGCAGATGAGGAGAAAAAGATAATGGCCGATTTGAAGATCAATCGCGGTGGCCCACAGCCATTGCAAGCGGATAGGCGTATTGGGCATGTATTGAGCGGAAAGTTACACTTGCTGTATAACAGCAGAGATCCAAATGCAATTATTTAATAAAAAACAATTTGAAAACTTTTGCGAAAAATTGGATATTTGCATGCACGAGCGCTAATTGAGAATATTTATACACCAATTTTGCAATTGTAGAAAATTTTACTTCGTTTAAGTTATACATTAGAACAATGGATTATATAATATTTTTTACCACTTGTTTATTGTTTATTCCTTAACGTTATATATTATTGTTATACATAAATTAGGCTTTTTTAAATATATGTTTATGTGTTTAATTAGTCATTTGTTCATCAATTTTATATGGTCTAATGTGAGGTCTAGCACTAAATATTTATAAGTATAATTATTAAATATAATATCGTAAATTAGAATATTATTTGGTTAATTATGCACAATCGCTAATAGTATTTGTTATTCAGTTATAATTAAAAATCACATATTTTCATATTCCGTAATTTTGTTATACAATATTCACTAATTTTTTTCTATCATTTTTGTAGTTATGTATATATTTGCTTAAGTAATTTGACAAATTGTACATTCAAACGCTGTGGACACGACGGTTTGCCAACSAAATTTTATTTTTAAGATTTTTTTTTTATACTTTTGTCCCTAAGCGTTTGCCCGCATTAATTAAATCATACGAATTATTAATGTTTTTATCAGTTATTATTTTTGTCAATTACGAAATTTTATAAAGAATAAAATAACTGTTTTATGGAGTTTACGTACACATATTTCGATATTAATTGAGTTTTAAAATCTTAGCGAATATTGTGATTGTTCTTACTTTTTTTTTTGGACATGCCATTTCTTTTCTATTTGGCAAATGTGAATTCATATTGTTCAAAAAAATCATACGTACATACACARGAAAAGTACGCGATAAACGAATAAATTAAAAGATAATCACTAATCGTAATGAAATAATTTCCAACTGATTTTTAATAAATAAAATTAAGAATTTCATGAACACGTATTTAATAAGGGCAGTCATCACTCTTTCTAAAATCAGGAATATGTCAAAATGGTTTCGTTCGCCGGTTTGTTTAAATTACTGAAACCTTTCCAAATAAAAACGCATTGTGAGTTAATTTCAACTTGATATGTGAGCCAACCGCTTGACTTGAAATGTAATTAACAGTTATGTAAATGCAAACACTAAGCTACATTCCAATATTTTTGTCATAAGTGAAGTTTTATATGTTTTACTTTTTTTCTAGCATTTTAAGGGAATATTTATATAACACTAATTGGCCGAAAATTTGTACAAATTTTTAGACAGTTAAAATTAAGTTCGTTGGCATGTAGCATGGCATGGGTTTCACTCCGGTAGTTTGTATTTTATTATAATTTAAAAAGCCCAATTATATATGTACGTTATATTTTAGTATGAGTWGTGAGTAAATAATTTAGTTCTAATTTTTACAATGTTTGCATGTGCTCATGAATCACCATATTTCGCTTACTGACTAATGATGCATGTAAAGTGTTCTCCCTTTTAATGAATGAATGCTTTGACGAATACTTGTATTTATGATTTATTTAATTTATTTGTTTGTTGGTGTATATAATTTCGATAAATAGTCAATAAAGCAAATATTAAACTAAAGCAGATGTTATGTACATATATATGGATATAAAGAGAATAATGGATAATAACTAAAACATATTTTTGTTAGAAAACTTATTATATAAACACACGTAGAATATAAATTATTATATGAACATTTATGGACTGGTAATCTTGTAACTATAAATATACATTATTATTTTATTATTTTTTACAATCGTAATAATTATTTTTTTACTTAAACTCTATGCGATTATCACTAAGACTTTACGTGTGTGTCTGTATGTGTATTTGGAACTGTCCGTCTGTCAGTCATTCACTCACTTTGCCATACATCCCCCCGTTTTAAGCATCCGCCACATTTCTATAGTGTAGCCAAAATTCGTGTAAAACCTAAGCACGCTGACACTATCGTTTGACCTACACCCCACACCATTGCATATATTGGTGACATTGGCAGACTGGAGGCTCGATGCACGAATGCTATCACTGCGCTACTTACTATGCCACTCATGGCAGGCGATAAAAATCCCATTACTAGAATTAATATAGAAAAGAAGCGTCCGAATTTATGTTTGCGTAGGGTCACAAAAGCAACCAAAGCCGCGCATGTATGTATGAAAATGGAGGAGAAGAGCGCCCAAAGGAATATGTGATACCACATTTCACGAAATGTATTGAGGCCATTTAGTGAGCGTAACCCCATAACATCGGCAATGGTGTCCAACTCATCCGTGTCATCAGCGTCGGACAACATTACAAGCTGAATGGTAGACGTGTTGACGGTGGTGGCGAGGTTATAGGTAGAAATGAAAGTAAGAGGCGTGTACTTATAGGTAAAGTTGAACGGTGGCTACTGATCGATGTTGTTTATATTTGTAAAGTACTTGATTAACTTCGATATAAAGTATATTTATGTTGAAATACGGCGTCGTTAATAAATTTCTTATAGTTGTATGTTTACTCGGTTGAATTTGTTGTTTTTGTTATAATTTTTACTCGATTTCAATCGTACTTATGTGTAATAGACGAAAATATCACAAACTTATTTGCTGATGTACCACTTTGGCGGGTGTACAAGTATGGATGTAGCTATTTGATAAAGTCGCTCTGAGGTGCCGCTTTTAACTAGTGCAAATCTCGCCATCACTGRTATATTCATATATTGATTCCATCGCTTCACTGTCGATAAGCATTAATTCACTTGGTTGCCAACATTTTCATGTAAACTTTTCTGCGATCACTTATAGGTCGTAATTTCGATGTTAGCAAACGTGCTGATATATTAAAGATGTCATGGAAGGCTTTAGCATGGCGGAATATTTTTAATCGCATTATTGCACCTAAAATATTTAATAAAGAAAATTTAATCATCGMTATTAAAAAATATTATTAAACTTAAACAACAAACAAACATACCATATAATTATATACGTACATACATGTGGACATGCACAAAATTAATACATTAGTAATACATTTTTAAGAGTTAAGATGCATTTCCTTTGCTTTGAATAATACGTATACTTTTCGCTTTTTCTGCACAAATCACTAACTTTGATCTTTAGACCACTAAAGTACATGCATGTATGAGATATTMAATTGTGCCATTATTTGTTATTTTTAATTAAAATATTCATTAAAAAAATTTCCGTACAATTATTTTATTTACCTTTTAATCAGCCCCACATCAATGTCTTCGACAGCTGCTTTCCCACATACAATTAGTTTGCGTCGTCCAATTATGCGTGTGAATCTCCACGTTGTTGCCAGAAACGAACATCTTTAGCCGATTTGATTTTATTTCTAAACATTGCTATTGGTTATAATTTAAATGCACATTTTTAATTCAGTTTTCCACAAATACTAATCGATTTGCAAATAGCAAACCATTACTCCCTACTTCCACTCACTTTATTGTACACCGCCCGTTTTGTTCAGATTTGCTTCAAAACCATCCTAATTTTTTAACACTATTTAGGTATGCATATACTTATCGGTCACTAGAGTAGGAAATTTGTTGTAGTACTTTATTTTTTCGAAAGTCTCGACCAAATTTAATTTTCTGTGCAAGTTATTATTTTTCTCATAGAAATCGCTTCGTCCATAACAAAGAAAATTATTGTGCATCTTCTTCTTCTCGTTTGACGATGATACCAGAGTAGCAACTTGATGAGGATCAAATATTTTCTTAAACCATTTATATGCATAAAACTCAAACATATTAAAATAACTTAWACATGAAATAAAAATTATATGCAGAAAACTTTAATATTTTACTATTATTCGATCTACTGAATTTGTTTTAGTAAAATTAGTTATTTAAGCAAGGTGGTAACTTACATTTTATCAACAGCTGTTCTATTACCATTCACGATAGATATGTTTCATTTTGACGTTTCAGAAAGATAGAAAACAAACTTGTTTGACATTCTCAAATTRACATTAGGTTTTTTTAGAAGCAACGTAAAACACGTGTGAACAACAACTTTATTTCAATTGTTTTATTAAAAATTTAAAGCCAAAATGTATCTGATGTACACCTTAAACGAAAAAGGAGAACGCGTTTACACGCTGAAGGTAAATTTAATTTTCTTAGGTTTGAATTGAGTATAATAATCAAGACATACATTTTTCTTTCAGAAACGCACTGAAGATGGACATCCAACAATCTCTGCTCACCCAGCACGTTTCTCGCCGGAAGATAAATACTCACGTCATCGTTTGACAATCAAAAAACGTTTCGGTTTGTTGATCACACAGCAGCCTGAACCAGTCTACTAATTTTGATATCTATATTCTTAAGTTCGTTTTTAAGTAAATAGGATTCAAATATGCATAACATTTTATTAACTAAGGCTTAAATATGAGTAAATAAACACTATATTAACTAARAAATAACAGTACTAGTCAATTTATTTCAATCAACCTTACGTTTCAAACCTGCTGTAAAATCAAATAGTTGGGGATTTCGGAACTCTCCACGCATATCAAGCACATAGTATAGTGCACGATTTTTCACCTTGATAGGCAATTGATTGCGTGCTGTCTCACGAGATTCCTGTGCAGAAATACATTTCAGTGGCACGGTCATTATACGGTTTCTATTAAATGGACCATAGGTAACAAACGCAACATCTTTTCCACCTTTACGTAGTATAAGATAACGCACCGAACGTAAAGTGAACAACCAGGTAGCACACAGAATACCATAGCCTATAAACAAAYATAGTTAGTTTACACTTAGCACAGCAATGTAATTAGTTATACAACCTATTAAGAAGGAGATTGTTGTGATGCCATTTCTGTATTTGTTTTCGCCTAAGTTTATTTTTTGATACCAGGCTAACTCATCGCCAGGTATTTCCTGCACGGGCGCATCTTTAAGGGTTGTAAATGCAAAATGCGACAGGTAAGTCCAAAATACAAATTGACACAATCCAAAGATGTTCAAGACATTGTAATACTTTGGGTTCTCGTATTTGAAAAGTACCACGTCTTTCGAAACATTCGTATTCACATTAAAAGCGGGCGAGGATCGATTACGTGCCGGTGTTCTCAATAGAATTGTAGGTTTATTTAACGATGATAGTGCTTTATGAGTAACCGGCTGCTTTAGGTTTTGCGCAAGAAATGGAGTACGATGTAGCAAACGACAGGTGCTTGTACGAAAAATATTAGCTGTTGAATTTACAGTGATATTTAATAAAATACTCATTTTGCAAATTATATTTTGTTGTACACTATGTAATTACGATAACCTCAACATTTTGCTTTTTTTCTTAATAGTAAATTCTTCAAGCACCAGCTGTTCGGCGGTTTGTTTTGATACATAGCCTGAGCTGCTGCCGGATTGCTGAAGTGCTATTTTTTGCAATTTAAAAATTTTGGTTTTTAAAACGTGTTTATGAATTGTTTGTGTGTTTGCAATATGAGTTTTAACTAGAGTTTTATTTTGTGAGTCTAAATAGTCTTACTGCTTTGATGCGCTAAAATATACGCTTAAAATTGTTATTAATATTAATACATAGGTTTTATAATAACGTTTTGACTTTAATATGAATTTACAACCCTGCTGGTCGTTCGGTACATTCGTCTGACAGCTGTCACTTGCTTGCCTGTGCTATTAAACAAACCMAGAATTATTGTTGTTTGTGAATGCTAATCTAAAGGTGTGTGATTGCGGACGGTCGAATGTCAGTTGAGGAAAAATTAAATTCGTTTGAAAAATAAACAATTATTGCAAAAAATCTACTAATAGTGAAATAACGTAGTAAATAAATTATATCTAATTCTTGTGAATTTCTATTGCAAAAACATAACTAAAGTGAGATTGTTATGAACTTTTGGTACATTGGATATATAATTTTTCCTTCAGAGTGAGTTTGTTTCTAATTTACCTTGCTACTATCTATTGTCTTGCGTTATTATGTTGTTTGCTATAGTATTTCCGATTTACTAACTAATTATAGCTTCCCGCCTTTAATTTCACTAATATTTAATTGCAAATTATATTCCTTACATACACAATAGAGTTGCCAAAAATTAATATTGTATATTTATTTACAATATGAATGAACACTTCTTACTGAGTATTATTTACAAATTTTAAAATAATGTTATTAGTATTGTTATTTAAAAATATTGCTTATTATCTGACCCTATCATGGCATGGCATGTCCGGTCTCTGATCTCTTAATAGCTGGACGAATGTGCTGTTCTTTGCAAGCAAGCAAGCTTTTTATTTTCGTAGACGTATTACTTCTTAAAATGTGAAGTTTAGATTAAAATCTTATTGAACAAAGTTTGTTATTAACAAAACAGTAAAATTGCTTACATTCAAAATTGAATGCCAGATTGCTTGGCAACCCTAATAGAAATGAGGTACATGGCTTGTGGAAAGAATCGCCCTAGGAAAATATAAGCTGAAAATCGATTTCATTATTTATTAAGTAGCTTGAGCTAACCGATTCCAAGGATAWATGTAAATTTATACCTATWGGAGAACCCTAATTGSTTCCAGAAATCTAAAGCAAATAATSCACACATATATACGTATGTATGTATGCGTGAGATGTAGCGATCAATAAAAATAAATAAGATCCGAAATAATGACCATATGCAACTATCAACACATTTGAAAATAGACACATAGAATGTAATCAGGATAAAATCATAACGACGTGATTTAGTACGATTACGGAAAACATAACCTCAAAAATTTCTACAATCGATATTATAGAGGCAGAAAAATAGAAGCAGAGCGAGAAAATGTGAACGAGCTCTATATATGCACAAGCACACATACATCTATGCAAATCGCAAGCACTATGCATATCGAAGAGCACTCCGTGATACATACAAAAATATAGCAAAGAGAAATGAAACCGTTGGCGAAAGATAATGCCGTGCTTAAATCTGAACCGATTTCGATAATACCGTAAGAATCACGGTTATAAGTATTAAGGTTAAGATTGCATTAAGATCGGGTCGAATGGGTCARTTTTGGAAAATACCAATTTGACTTTGAAAGAAATTTCTGATTAAAAAAAAACAATAATAATAAATAAGCATAGATATGTGCAGAAATAATATTAAAGTATAAGTATGTGCGTTAAATTAAACAAACTAAATTTACGCTTAATAATTTTCGACCGAAACCAATATGGCTGCCATCGGCGCTCGTGTCGCGACATCGTACATTTTGCTTACATGTGGCGTAACTTTGTATTATGTATTATCAAGAGAAGCCAAGCGACGTATTGGGACAGACATACATTTGCACATTATAAATTTACTTCGTACATGTAAAACTTTGATGTAAAATGTCAGGGGCTTTAGTCCAAGCCCGAATATCTTAATTTCCGACCCTATTACCATATTGATGTATTTCGTATATTATACTTAGATAATAAAATAGCAGCCAGTATGCATAGATATGTACATAGTACTTTATACTTATAACAAAATTTGAGRAGCGGGTCGGTGTTATAGGCACATATCTTTTACCTTTAATGATATTTACATAAATTGCATGATAGATACATATTTTGATATGCTTTTCGAGTATGTATTCACATACATATTTTCAAGACGTGTTTATGTCTATACTGACATCAATTGCCTCTGATATCCAAAAATTCTAACAACGCTCATTCCGAAAGTAGAAGATGAACTCAAACATTAAATATTATCTACACATTAAATAAATATATGCATATTCATAGTGATTTTAATATTATTTTTATTTTGTCGTCAACCCAACATTCGGCTGCTCTTATATGCTTGCTTTATTCGCGTTCGGTTTTTTCCATACATTTTCGCTAAACGGGGAAACGACGAGTCGTTAACCAAAAAGCGACTCTGTCATATTGTTATTTGTTGGTTAAACTACTGTGATTTTTATTAATAGTTCGAATGCAACTAACTTTTACATGYAATATATTTCATATATCCGGTATGCATATCGGATTATTTCTTTTTATAATCCGTTGGATATAATTCCCTCTGAAAAATGTCTAGGCACGCATATAGACACTTCTGTACATTACATATATATATTTTTCTCATATCATTCCATCGCAGTCATACRCATTTGTTGTCACCGATTATTCAGCGTTGTTTTGTGCAGGCAAGAGCCGGTGCTCTTCTTTCTGCTTTTATACGAGTATACCAATGCTTTTYGGATTCTGTCTATGGTTGTTTGTGTATATACGCTGCAATCTACCATTCCCGTGATTATTACTTTGGACTTTGCCTGTTTTCCGTTTTTGGTATATAAATCGGTAATTTAGTTCGACGAAATATCGCATTTGAACCGACTAMCTGAATTACTACCGAAAAGTTACGACTTACGACGTATGCAAATGTCCTTACAAAAATGTATATATATATTTTTTTTATAAAATTGAGTATGCTCTCTGTTTTGATGAAAAATATGATTTTTATATATAGTTTTCACCMGAAATTCTGGTTCGTATGCGTTGTAATTACATTTAATTAACCCACAAATTACTCGCCGCACACTTTCGCTTACTTGCCTTTCAATAAGAATGTACGCTACGCTTCAATCAGTCAGCGTTTCTTACGTGTCCCCGAGGTGCTTTGTTTTCGGTTGCGTACCTGAATTTCTGGCATTTAATCTAGAAAATTTTGGAAAAGGTTGCCTTACTGAAAGTATGAACAAAGATATTTCAATACTTGACGGTTTTAGTGATTTGCACACTTTTCGCCATCTTCGTGCATAACCCCATTATAGCCAGGCAGCTRTTTGCGCGCTTATCTGCTTGCTGCTGTCTACTTATCTTTAGCATCTTGCTCTGGCATTCCCTTTGTTCCACTTGAAATAATTTTCCATCATTATCCTGGATAATTTTCTATCACTCCAARAATTTTTATAAAAATCTTGAATATAAAATAGAATAGTGATGTCACCTACATCTCGAATTCTCTTAATTACTCTCCGCTTTTGAGTTCAGTGCTCTCTTACTCTCTGATATGCCTTCAGGTTTTTCGTATGTTCGTTTGTAACTAACACAACTGTACATACGAATAGATTGCTTAATAATTATACAATTGTGCAAAATTTGCGGCCTGGTGAAGAAGATTTCAAAATTTTCAAAAAATAGAGCAGTTCGGAAATTTTGTCGAGCGGAAAGGGCTTGAATTGGGTTTGGGTTGGATATCGGTGAGTAAACTTTAGTTACTTTCTAGTGTGTGTGCAGGCCGTCACGGTATACATACACAACCGGGTTGGTATTGTGCATATACATACATACATATATGCATATAGAGAAATATATTGTACTCAAACTCGTGCAAAAACAAAAAAAAAATATAATTATCGAGGTGGCAACATCTTTTGATTTTTTTTAAATGTTTTTTTATGTGCCAA